ACACACTCACCAATTTTAATAAAATAAAATTCTTACAGAAGTTACGTCTATGCCCACCTAAAGATCGCGCAAGGTGGTAGTTGACGTAGGTGGAAAGATTGCCATGAGCCCCCTAGGGAGACTTATATATAGATATTCGGAAAGAGCGTCAAAAATCCATAAGATATACAAAATACGAAAACAAAATAATCTTGTTGAAAATGTGTGTATGACTACTTATTAGAGAAAATGTTTTCAACTACATCACTTTATTGCCACTTGTTTTTAAGTACAATTTTTTACTTTATTATTTATTTATGATACACATTTTGAAAGACTTTTCTCCTTCTATTGCTGTAATTCTGTTGTGGAGTTAAGAGTACTGTACCTTGGATCAATTTTAGCTTTTTAATTTTGTGCAAAATACATTATACGCTTATCTATCAATAGTTTTGTTTAAAACGAATTCCGTCATACATTTCAGAACAAAAATATTCATTACAAATAAATATGAATGTTTTTTTTTTTTNTATTTTTTTTTTTTTTTTTTTTAACTTTAGGCATTAAATAAAATTTTGATATTTTTAAATAATATGTTTCAAAATTTTTTAAATGCTTTAAATAAATAAATTTTTTACTTTACTATAATTTGATTCCTTTTTTTAATTTATTTTATTTAACTACATTTCTTAGTCCCGCAGGGAACTTATTGCAAAGACACATTTCCCAGTAGGGCCGGATTAAGCGAGGCCTAGGCCATTCAAATTTTTGGGGCCCTTAGATTAAATTTTTTTCTCGTATAAATTTTATTTATTCAAATATAAAAGTATTTCTATATTTTCTCATTTAAGAAAGCATATTTAAAATTAAAATAAATAATAATGAATTAAATTTTGCTTTATTTTATTAAATTAGAACTAAAAAATAATCATAACATTTCGAAAAAATTTGAAAAATCATTGTTTTTCTTAATTTTTTTTAAAAATTTATTTACCAAAAATCCCTTTTAAGGGGGCCCTAATCAATGGGGGCCCCAGGCTGGCCTAATGGGTAATTTAGCCCTGGTTCCCAGTTGTACACCAAAGTCAAGCATTACTGGCTCAGTAAGCAGGTGGGTGACCACTTTGATCAGCTTGCGTAGGGACCGAAGGTGCGCGTTATCGCTCCTCGTTAAACTGTTTTACCGTAAAGGGCTCGACTTCGCTCGCAGGTCGTCGGACTACCAAAAACAGAGGAGTTATCCCCTCTGTAGAGGATCAAAATTACGATGGAATGTCTTCAGATCATCCTCAGGGATGTTTCCCAGACTGTCGCCAATAGCCCATTGTGCAGCTCTTGTGTGCCGTAAATGAAGTACCTACATACCTAACTACATTTCTCATTCTGAATAAATAATTTTTAAGTTCTTCCAAATATAGATGGCAGCATTAATTTTTTAATTCTGATATTTTTTATCAATTTTATTAATCTTACCTGCTAGCTATAAGCTGACCCTCTCTTCTTTTTTGTGAATAGGTAAGGAGCTATTTCGGAAAAAAATGTCTGATTTTGAAGCAGCAATTACATCATTTACACCAAACATAATTTTATCCATTTATGGAATAAATACGCGCAAGAGAAAGTTAAATTTGATAAAATAAGATACTTTACAGATATTATTTTACTAATTTATCTCAGCAATAACATAAATTTAAAAAAATATATAGGTTAATTTTGGAAAACAAAATATTAAAAAAGCTAATAAGACCAGACATTTTTGAATAACTGCTGTGAGTTAGCAATAGTTATTTATGACTGTTAGATCTAATTCACTTTATCTATAGTCAGTACCCTCTGTGCTACTTCAGAAAATTGTGTAAAACGACACCATGAAGAAAAGCGACAGTTTTGAATAAATGAAAAGTTCTAATTTTTTTTTTAATTTTTAAGTAGTTAATCTAAAGCTACATTTAGGAGGAAGAGTTTGCCAAATTGGCGATTTTTAAAAATGTTTCTGGCTTTCTGCGAATAAATTTCTATTTTCATAACTGCTGAGAGATAGCAAAAGTTATTAATGACTGTTAGATCTAATTCACTCTATTTTTAGGCAGCGCTCCCTATATTCTGAAATGGTGCAAAACGTCAAGCAGAAAAGCAATAGTTTTGCATAAATAAAAAGATCTATTTTTTAATTTTTAAGAAAGCACTCTAACGCTACGTTAGGAGGAAGGGTTCGCCACAATGGCGAGTTTTGAAAATGTTTCATAACTTTTAAAATATTTAAGATATTTACCGGTTCCAAAGCCCCGATAATTCTTTACGACAAGAGGGGTACATTATAGTTTAAAATTATAGACTTGTCTCAAGTGTAGGGCACTCAAAATGTGGCATTTATATTTAATTTTCGGATAAAAGGCAGGGATACTCTGAATGGCCCATATCCAAGAGGTCATAAGTTCGATCCTCTCCGGCCGAAGACTCCCCGTGTAATAAATGGTGACTGGTGCACGTTAAAATATGTCTAACTAAGTCTTCCATGTTCCCATAACAAATCAATACCTCTGGGGATACTGTATAAGAGATTGATCGTTCTATGATTCAGGTCAAAATTACGATCTGTGGATGAACGAACTGATATATGAATGGGTCCGCCCTATAAACGGGCTGTGACGTGTGTGTGGGTGAAGTCCTATTCTTGGCAATAGATGGCGCCACTGAAAAAAACAAGAAACGCACCCCCTGCCTTAAATTCGCTTGGTTTCACCAAGCGGGCTTGCTAGTATTTTGCAAGTGGCATTAGAAACGACATTTTCGAATAGGGTTTTGAAGAACACCCTCAAACTGGAAAATTACAGTGTTTTCAAAATTTTACCATAGACTTTAAATCCCGCATGAGATAGTGCATTTAAAAAAGTTTAACTATGAAAAAAAAAATCAGGTATTTTTACTTCGATTTATTCTAATTTAAGCAGGGGGAAAATACTTGAATGGGGAAAAAGCTTCAATAGTACATAATTTAAAAATCGCTTGCTTGTACAAGCAGAAAATGCAAGCGAGAACAAATCTTAATGCATACTTATTTCAGGTTCTGTATTCCGAAATAAAAAGTTCAGAAGCGTAAATAACACAGAAACGGATTGTTAACACAGAATAAATTCAACTAACATTTCGACAGAAATAAATTCATTTTTCGTTGCGAAACCCATTCAATACGGTTGATAAAAGATGGAAAAAGAAGAAAAGAAAAAAAAAAGGAAGCAACTCTTTCAAATCTATATTGATTGCATAAACGGTTCTCCAGAAAATGGAAATTCGAGACGTTTTTTTGGTGTTAGAATTATCAAATATACAGTCACAAAAGTATTTGAGAATTTCGTTTGACAAGTTCTTTTCGATAAGAAGATCAAAAAGAAATCATATTTTTAAACGTATCTTCAGGTACGAAAATCTAGAGTGTGCATTAATCCAAATAAAAGAAAACTAAATTGTAAGAGTTTGGCATTTAGATTAAAACTAAAAATATATTTATAAAATTTATTTTATAGTGGATGCATTTTTGAATAATGAATACAGTGTTAGAAATTTTGGGACATGCCCAATTTGTTTTAGACTTAATAAAGTGCTAAATTTAACTATATTAGTTTACAAATTAATCCTCTTTAAACTTGATGACACGACACTAAGATTTAATTAAACGGAAACACGTTTCAATTTAACAAATTATCAACGGTCCTTAATGGTCCAGTTCACTTAATTTGAAGAACTCACATAAATTTCTGCATCGACTTTAAGTTGTTGTTGCAACTCTTAATCCTACTTTTTTAAAGGTTTTTTGAAAGGAGTCAGGTCTGGGATCTTGACAGGCTGATCAATTTGGTAAACCCTATTGTCGCCATACCAATACATGATAAACCTCGCAACATGGCAGTTAGGGTAATATCCTTGGAATTACATATATATATATATATATGTAATATAAAAATTAAATACTTTTGTATTAATAAAAGCATTAAAACTTCATTCGTTT